AAGGAAGAGCAAAAATTCGCCTTACTTCCTGGCTACAGCATAGTAGGTCAGCTTGCTAGGGTAATAGACCATGTCATTCAAGTTTCAACACAAAAAAAAACTGCTCTTGTCCTCCTAGATATGGAATAAAGGCTTCGACACCTATTGCATGATGGCATTATTTACAGAAAAATGAATATGATTTCCCAATTATTTAATTAACATTGTGTACACATGCTTGCAAATAGACTTTTTGGGTTGCTCCCACTCTCTTTCTTCTTTTTTTCATTATTAAACCTGGCGTTCCTCACGGCTCAATTCTGGGCCCGACACATATTTTTCTGCTCTCCTACACCTAAATGTTATTGCGCACTACCGATCCTCCTTGAGGGTAAGTGCGATTACCAACATTAATACGGAGCTGGAATGAATAAAGCGTTTCTGCACCAGTTATAAATTTTTTTTTATTATTATTTATTTTTATTACAATCTGTAATTATTATTTACAATATGTAATTTGCGGATACATGAACTTATGTACAACTATTTACATTGAGGAGAGAAAATAATCAATGTTATCCTCCCTCTTCACTTTGTTTATGTTTTGTTTTTTTACAGTTTACTCGGAAAGGAGGTCGCGGGGCCATTTCCTCTTAAGACGCCTTATGGGGTTGTAGGGATGGGTTCTATCGGACAGGGCTTGGGCAAGACTATTTGGATGGTGGGAGAGTTTTTGTGAAACTTGGTAAATTTTTGGAGAATAAATTTTTGGATATAAGGAATTTGAAGGTCGTTGTGGAGGGTAGCATTTGAGACATAATAAGGAGCATTTACAATGGATCTGAGGACTTTAGATTGAAAGGATTGGAGACGTTGGATATTGGAAGGTTTAGCGGTTCCCCACAGTTCTATTCCGTACGTCCAAATCGGTTGTAGTAGTGTTTTGTAAATTGTAAGTTTGTTTTTTGTCGATAGTTTAGACTGTCGTCCTATAAGTCTGTGCAGTAGACCATACCGTCTGTTTAGGTTTTGTCGTGTCAGTCGTGTATGTTGATTCCACGTTAGTCGTGAGTCTAGGTGGAACCCAAGGTAGCGAACGCAGTCGGATTTGGGGATAGGAACGTTGTTGTAGTATATCGTGATAGGAGGTTTGCTTCGGAGTGTAAATGTGACATGGACACTCTTGCTTTCGTTTATCTTCATTTTCCATTGTCTACACCAATCTGCTATGCATGAGATATATTCCTGAGATCTTCCGAAGCAACCGCAGGATCGGAATTGGAGGATAGTACAGCTGTATCATCGGCGAAGGATGCAAGTATGGTGGTAGGTTTAGTGGGAATATCTGCAGTATAAAGGATGTAGAGGATTGGTCCGAGCACACTGCCCTGCGGTACTCCCGCAGCCAGAGAGCAGTTACTACAATTAATTAAATTAAAAATTAGTAATCCAAAACGAGTTACATTCTTTTCATTAAACTTAGGCCCTTGCTTACCCATAAAATAATGCCCGAACGAAACTTTTACTTGGTCTGAGACGGTAACCTACATACGCCTCAGAATTAAATTTAGTCAAGCATATAAATAACCTTGTAGACAAGAGCAAAACGCAATACGAGTTCTATTTCCTTAGCCCAAAAGGAAACAGTGATGACCGTATCAAAAAAAAACTCTAATAAATACAGCTATATGCTATACTAATAAAACTGTATGAGTTTTAAACATGCCAAACTATCCACAACTTCAAGCCAAAATAAACTCTTGCGGCTTGTTGCGTGGCTGCGCCAGGAGTTTCGGGTTGGCTAGGCCAGACCACACGGAGATCACATGAACTGAATTATGGAGGCAATGCAAAGAGAACTCAAAAAATTTTTTTAGGCAAATGGGGGCCTCTCCAAATCCATAATCCATGGGTACCTACTCATCATCAGTCTACTTGAACCACAGGCGTATAAAGCATGGTAATTTACCTACTCAATAACTACACGTAATGTGATAAATATAGTTCAATTCTGTCACTAATTGACAGTTTTAGTCTTTGATGATATTATGATATTTATTATTATGCATATATTTGTTACTCCTGTTTATTGTTACACCCTTATTACCATGTGGTTTTTTTTTGGTATAATTTATATCTATAAATATACTAGTGCAACAAATGCAGTATTGCTAGTGTGTTTTTCTTGATTTAGAACTTCACTACAGATATTATTCATTCAGAATAAGACATTACTCATAACGACATGACTTATAAATATGGGGTTCAACCAAAGTATGCAACTTCTATCGAATTCAATCCTTCCAGTCCAAAACCCTCCGTTGCACGGCCGAATAGGATCGGATGATCCAAAAGCGAAGAAACGAATGAGCATGCGTCCATTAGAACCTATTCTTTCGGTCGTGTTGGGCCGTGTACGGCGGAAGCACTTTCCGATCCAAATAAAGTTGGATTTTCCAGTCCTATTCGGCCGAATTGTTACTTCGACTTCAACTGTCAACCACGTGACATCAAACGCTCACTATTGTTTAACGCCGTTCTTTGCTTTTTGCTTACCTTTTCGTTTCGTTTTCATTTCGATGGATTGCGAAAAATTGATAAGTGCTGTTGAGGAGCAGGCTCTTGGGACATGCGTGATCCTATCTATCATCGGAGGGATGTCCAGCGTAAGCTGTAGTCAAGGATAGCTTTAGAAATGGAACTTCCAATATTTCAATTCCAATCCGGACTTCTTGAGTTCAATCGTCTTGACCACATTTAAATAGTGATGTCATTTATTTGTTGAATTCTAAGAGCTGTGAACCTGTAAATTTGTATTATCGTCCTTGTCTTGAAAGGCTATTTATTAAGGGTTATAAGCAGGGTGAGGGAAGACAAGCCCAGCACTTAAAATAGCGAAATGCTAAGTCATCTCACAGACCAAAGCAGCGAGGGTGCACTCCAAAATTATCAGAGATGTTAAAGCTTGGGTTCATCGATCATCGCTTATCTCCAAAACTGATCAATTTTTTCACAATTTTGGAATTATGGTTGTTCAGGATACAAACACAGTTTTTTCTACCGTTCCGTACAAGCTTTAGTTCTCTAGCTATGGTTCCATGCCGCAAATTACATCATTCAAAACTTTACTTTTCGTATTTGTTTCGATACTGACTGCTTATAGGGCTCGATCGGGGTTACTTGCAAGTTGAAGCTCCTTCAAATCGGACAACCAAAATTCCCACTCCCTACAACTGTATAACCTGGGATCCAGAAGTTTTGGAATTTAGAACCACATTTGAGTTTATGATGTTCGGGTTCGGTGCTTTGGTGGCGGCGCGACTAACTGAAAATATAGCTATGTTTATGTTTGTATTCACTGTTCAGAAATCAGATCTCTCAATTGTAGACTTTTGCCATTTGTGTACCAGACCGGATGTCCCTTGTCTATTGGTATGCCAACAGGTTTCTCCTGTATCAGAGAAGAACGATAAAGTGACCGCAAGTCACAACTACAAATCTTGAATTGGAACCGATCTATTTTTATGAGAACCCTTAACGAGTTTTGGGTGATAATGTGCCGGGGCGAAATCGCCCAGAAGCTCCGTTGTTGAAATTTGTCTTGGGCCATTAGCTGTCCATTTTATCTATAATTGGTTAGAAACACGACGAGCACGAACACAGGGCCGTTTTGCAAACCAGTGTCTTGAACGGATGACCAAATCTGATGTGATTTATACTCTTGCGAAGAAAGCCGACCCCGCGAGTCCTTCGTGAGTTTATAACGCCGTTTAACAATGAAGACATATCCACAAAAGTGTTCTCACCCAGCCATAAACACTTCGCACATACTTCCTCAACATTAATTTTCCTGTTTCTTGTCAAGCCAGTTAAATACTGTTCCTGTTCGTTCTAAATCTTTTGTTGAAAAATTAAGTATGTACAAAATATGCATTTATAAGGGAACTTTTTTCCCTAAACTACATAATCAGAAGAGACTGACTGGTTAATCCTTACAATTCAACATTAAAAATAAAATAAAATAATGCTAAGTAAAAAAAAATTGTTAAATCAAGTTTCTTGGCGTGAAAGTCTTGTACAATGGTCCATTGGTGGCTTTGTTAACACCTCAACATCCACTCTGTCATCTAGGCCCTTGCTCTTTCATACTTCTTCAGGCGTTGGTTTGTAGGAAATGTTGGAATATTTTGTTTTATTAAGTTGAGCTAACGAAATATTTTTGAATGGAATCTCACCAATCGGAATACATCAAGGTCTAAAACTTTAGGCCAGTGTGGACGACGTGATTTCTTATCAGAAAATAGGTGTTGACTAATTTCATTGAAGTCACACTCTACTGGGTCCCGGAATATACAAGAGTATTGCAAGAAAGGGGCTGCAACACTACTGACAGGTTGTGGTATAGGTCTTTGCACTATCAACGAATTCTCTCACTGGGCACAAACAATCCAAAAAACTCCAGGCGAGATTTAGAAAAAAGGTAACAAATTTTGCAAAGAGGCTGCAGAGACCCAAACATTAAACCTATTAATAGACTGCAGTACTACATACACAGGATCTTTGGAAGAAAGGCAGCCCCAAGTTCAGGAAAAAGACCTAATATGGTACATACCAAAGATGAGGCCCAGAATGTAGTGGTAAAGGGGCTCCATACACCCTAGCAATGCCACTTTGGCTGGTTCGATCTTCCAAGCTGATATCTATTCAATCCAACTCTGTGCAATTAAGTAAATAAAAATAAAATAAAACATATCCAGATTTACCAATTTTCAAAGAGTCAGGCAGCTATAAATGCATTAAGTGATTTTTTTTTTTTTTTTTTGTGCTAAATCACAGCAGAGCCACAATTCCTTTTTTTGCTGTTTCTGAATTTTAAATTAAAACCCTTTTTTATAATTGTACATAAAAGTTATTTCTGTTCCTTTGCTACTATTCTTTGGATGGGGAAAGATCCACCAACAATTAAGTGTTAATTTTTTTTTTTCAATAGCACAATATGGTGCATCATAGCCATAAATACATCAAAAATTACTAGTTTTGTTAAATTTTAAAAACATCAATTTCTCTTGTCAGGTACATTAATTGGTGATATTACAAGTACATGGTGGATTAATTTTACATTAATTTTCTAAAACTAGCCAGTGAACTGATGTTTTTCACCTTCACATTGAACAAAGTAGAATAGTTATCAAGTAAGCATTTAACAATATTTTGATTAACACGTTAACAGATTGACATATGTTGGGAGATAATGTTAATGAAATTGTTATACGCATTGTTTATAACTGGTGTTGGTTTCCAATTAGGTACTTTAAACTATCGTTTTGATACAGCAGCTCATAACCTTCAGCCCCGGATCGCCGACGGTGAAAATGCTCAAATTGAAGAAATGCCGTATGTTGTCAAGCTGATAAGTTCAACAGGCATTTGTAGTGGTGCTATTATCAGCGAATCTTGGATTCTGACAGCAGCTCATTGCATATCACCTATCGGTACTGATGTTAAGGTCAGTTGTTATATTATCTATGCCCATAGTAAAAAAAACTTACCTGTCTTGTTATAGATTTTTGCTGGTAGTGACAAAAAATATGATAACTTAACACAAAAGCGATATGCTCTAAGCATACATAAACATGACTATTATGAAAAAGGAAAAATATCTCAGTACGATCTGGCATTGATTGAGGTATATAAGTACATAAAGGCATGTTAAAGATGTATAATTTTAAATTCAGTATATCTATAGTATTGTTATAGTCAAATCTTAGTAAAAAACTTATGTATAAGACTTTTAATTTTGTATTATGAACTAACATGCAACCAAATGATTTATCACCATGATTAACTTTAACAATTATGTATTTTCCAGGTTACTCCTTTTAAATTGAATGAAAGAATCGGCATAGTGAAGTTGTCAGATGACATGTGGCCACAAGGTGACACTAAGTACAACAGGTCATGTTTAGCAGCAGGATGGGGGGTACCGGAAGTCGGCCAGAAACTCGTGGCGCAATTACAAAAGCTTAGAGTCACCGCTAGTCACGGTGACAGAGGTTGCAAATGCTGGCCATCGTAAGTCGATCGTCAATTTTTTTTCAAATTGGCCAAAGTATGCTAACATAAACTGAATTCTAGTTTTCAGAATAAAAGGTTGATATGCCTGCACGAAAAGTCAGGCAGTGGGATCTGCCTGGGCGATTCGGGAAGTGCCCTAGTATGCGACGACAAAGCCGTAGGCATAGCTCACATCGTTTACCTTGTCGATTCTTGTGATCCATTAGCCTTTAAAAAAATTGAATTTAAATGCACAACGACCGCTGGTGTTTATACATATATATGTCCTCACTTGAACTGGATACGCCGTTATGTCCCAAGTGTTCCTATGACACCGGCTAGTTGCAGAGGAAGTAAATACTCACATAAAGAACTAATAAGTTTTGTGCTATTAAAAGTGTTATTATTAATTTGAAACTAGCTAAATTCTAGGTTTATAATTTGATTTTAAAATATTTGAAATAGTTATTCAGAAATCGTGAGATGCGGTCTGGTGTGATGTAGGTTTCAGAAAAACATTTTGTTTATCGTGCCAACGTTTCGATCTTTATTGAGATTATCTTCAGGGCCTGGGATTTACAAACATTGTTTACATTTAACATTCCACATTTAGGATGTGGAAAAAAGTGAATTTATACAATGTAAAATATATTTTTTTTTTTACATTCAATCAAAGTATTTCTACTACTACTACTATTTCTGAAACCTACATCACACCAGACCGCATCTCATGATTTCTGAATAATTATCGATTAACGGTCACTAATCACCACACATTTGAAATTGTGTGCGCATTCAGTGGTCACTGGTTGTTACAGGATTTTATGTGCATGATATGCTACAAGATCTATATTTTTGATATATATCTATATATTTGATCTTGAATTTAAAAAAATAAAAAAAACGCACAAAATAATTTCTAAAAATAATATATTTTATTTCTATTTAATTTGTTAAATCGTGATTGCTTTAATGAATGTCAAGATTCTAGTCTGTTTTTGTTGATGGGGATGGTGAATCAGTAGTTCGGTCGTTTCCATAAATTTTCATTTGGTCTGTAACAAGCATTTTGGCACAAATCACGATTCAAGAAATGACAAACCCAGCAATGAAGATGGCGAGAAGATGAAACATCTGACAGGCCATTTGATATGATGAGGATAGTCCGTTCTGTTTAATTCAATTTTTACATAGGCTTACACAACCTCCTCACTTAAATCAGTATTTTAACATACTGGACACATGAACAATGAACAGATACACATGAAAATGTATTTAAAAAACTACACATATTTCATATCAAATCAATGTTAGATGTAAGGGATTGACATTACCAAGATATATTAATTAAATTAAGCGGAAATAAACATATAATCACAAAAACTTACATAAACTTTTTGGTTTTAAAATCAACTCAATTTTCCAAAAATGAGACAAAGTTTGTTAATTTATGCAATTGTTGTTCTGTCGATGTAATGTTTACGGGGATGCTGGTCTGTTGAACCGGGAAAATGATATTGTCCTCAATGTTCCAACCATTCTTTTTAGCCAGTTCGATGGCTTCTTGAGTCGTCATGCCGAGAAGAAGAGACAACATTTCAAGATTAAGAGAGGAATACGCTTTGCACACCAACCCGATGCATTTTTCTCTAACTTTGTCTGCAAAAACAAAACCAATTCAGCACGTTTTAATTAACACAAGAGCCAATGCTCACCTTTCAAGCCGACCATAATCGGTTTGACATTATCCGTCCATGACGTACTACTAAGGGCTGTGTACACTGCAGGGAGTTCCCTCTGCCACATCGCCTTACCCACATTCCAAATGTGGCCCAATTCGGTATTCTGTGATTTTATATTTTGTGGTATCCTTTTCCATAAAAATTTGGCATTGCATCTAAAGGTATGAACAAATTAATATTGAGAAAAACAGAAAAACCAATATTGCTGTTATATGTAACATGTCTGGCATTTCAGAAAGCATTTACTACTGCGATTTCATCATTTAAGGTTTATTTTTGAGTCTAAAGGAAGATGAATCTGTTGTTCGATCATTTCTGGTCAATCTTTTCTGTCTATACTTACTATTTTTAATCAAATTCAACAAATCCACTACTGAGTAAGGTGAAATTCTTCAATACTAAATTTAGGCAAGCAAGCAGTTTAGCGGATCCATTCTGTGGTAGCAGCAGTCTTTATGTGGTGTAGATATATAAAAATTAGAGTTGCCAAAAAGTTTGGAAAGCATGAAGAAGTGAATTGCTCATAAACACAAGGTTATCAAGCAACATGGCAGCCCAAATGTCTATGAACTTGAAAGGCTCAAGAAGCACTATGGAAAATTAATCATAGTTAACCACCCAATAACAATAGTGCATGAAGGATTGGCAACCGCAATGGACCGTGAGTACAAAAGGAAGACACATCTATCCTAGTGCCAAAATACAGAGTAAAAACCACTTTATAGATGTAGACCATCCACACATCGTACTTTATAGGTGGTCATGGAGGTTTCACAGCAAAACTGCATAGTTTTAACTTCAATCCAAGCCCAAGTGCAGAGAACAAGAAAGCTCTGCTCTATGCATATGGCTAATAATACCGTTTTATTCAGTTTATAATAATAGAGCTTTCATATAACAAATGATTGTGGAAGATAGCAGAAAGTATTTGCACATAAGATAAATTTAGAGCAATAAAAAAGAAGGTTCTTACAATAACAAAATATAAAAATTGGCCGATAAAGAACTACAATGAAGGCCTTACACACTATCCAACATCCTGACTGGAATCCTCCAAAAGGAGCACACTGGGCGCCACTAATGATCTCTGTTCATCAGTAGTATACGCAGGGTGGTAAGAGAACAAAAAACACCAGACTGAAGATACTGAAATGCCAGAGCCTAAATTTGTACCAGCTGAAACCTTGATGTGCCATTCCTGAATTTATCGTTTCCCCGGAGGCTAATCGAATGAACTAGTTATAAAAATTAATATTTGTTGAAGATTATTAGTAGTTCTAGTGTGCTCCAAAAGTTACCGATATGACGTGCCGAACAGTTTTCTTTATTTATCCTCTTCAAAAGATCATAATAAGTGTAAAATGCCAAAACTCGGCTGACAAACAAAAAAATAAATAAACAAAAAAATTTTAAAAAAGCTATGAACAAGAATAAGACCTGAAGGTCAAGATGGTCAGAAAGGACTACTAAAATTATGAGATTTTTCTTGAGGCCTGCAGAAAATGAATCCATAGTTGGTCAATCTTTTCTATCTAGCAATTTTGGAGTTTTAACCAAATTGAACAAAACCACCACAAATGAACGTAAAATGTTTAAACATACCTGCTGTTAGACCAAAAAGAAGCAAGATGCACACCAGGATGATTAGGAATGAACAAACTACAATGACAATTGTAAAAAAAAATTTACATTTGAAAGAAGATGAAACTGTATTTTGGTCATTCTTTTCACTGTTTTGGTTGTTTCGGTGTGCCAATTTCAACATCTAGTGACCGATCTACAGCAAAACTGTGAGATTTATCCTGAGCTCAGTTGGAAGGAGAGATTATAATTAATTTTATAGCCTACCAAATGCATTTATGTGTTTGCCATCTTGTGTTTCATCACAGTAATCATCAAACTGGAAAAACTTAGCATTAACGATGGTAAATGCCTTGACATATCTAACAAAACAATTGAATAGGCAGTCCAGGATGATCAGAAATGGCCAAACTACTATGACCAAATTATGAGATGTTTGAGCTCAACAAGACAATGAGAATATAATTGATGTTTTAGCCTATCAAACACGTGTTTCATAGGCTGAATGTCAATAAAGCCTTTAGTTCCAGATAATTTTGGTGTGAACCCTTGCTTCTTGTCAGTCAGATGACTTTTAGCATTTTGCCATTTTTAGTGCTGAGCTTGTTGTCTTCCCTCACCCTGCTTATAACTCATACTATTCAACAAGACAAGGATGATCCAATAATACAAATTCACATGTTCACACCTCATAGAATTCTATCACAAATAAATGAAATCACTAGTTAGATGTGGTCAAAAGTATTGAACTCAAGAAGTTCCATATGACCTACCGAAGGTTAAGGTTAAAAGGGGATGGCCTCTTTACGGCCTTACGCGACCAATATTGGTATATTGTGCAATCTACAGTATTATGTAGAGCTGTTCAACTCTATGAAACAATCGACCAAAACAGGGAGGTAGGCAGACTAGGATGATCGAAAAACTTAAGATCGTTAAGATCACGAGGTCATCGATGTGTCAGTTGGCTGTGTGGAGTATCGGGAAGTGTGGAAGAAGGAAATTGGCTTACTAAGGGATTGAGATGACCTGTGAGCGAGGAGTGGCATTTGTTGTATCTTCATTTGATGGAGTGAGAATTATAAGGGATGGTGAGATCATGGTGAAGGGTACGACTGGACACATAGAAAGGAGCATTTGTAATGGAGGATTTTGGACTAGAATTTCACCATTGCGTTCTCCCCACAACAAACATCAAATTGCACCAGTCTAACTATGAAGATGGTGAAATGCTGTAACCAAAACAGTTAAGGCAAGCAGACCAGGATGACCAGAAAACCCTAATTACTGCGATAATTAATCACACAGTGGTTCTTTTGTATGAACAGTTATCTGACATGACTGCATCATCAACAAAAAGAGTTAGAAAAACAAACATCATAATAACAAGGCAAGTATGATAAGTTACATGACTATACTTTACACTTACAAATCAAATTGGTATAAATAAATAGCAAGTAGTTGTCCGTAAAGTTGAGGTGTTGATACTCCTCCCTGTGCCTGAAAAAACAAACTTAAGAAATCTATACAACTGGAAAACAGCAGTAAATATTAAGCAGTACTCCCTTACTTGCAACTCTTGTTTTTCCAACTCTTCAGCCAACTGGTCTATGTTTTCTAATGAGATCATTTTCCGAGTTTAGGGTCTTTCGAATAAAACCATAATAATCCCTAGTGTAAATTTGCGCCTGTTGAGTTTAAACACGAAAGTCTAGGATATCCTAGCATTCCAACAAAACAAGATCTTAGCGAGAAGGTTTACAATGTGTGATGGTGGAAACCTACGCGCTACCTATGAGCTATGGTATGCGCCGCTTATACGATTTTCACCATTTTCATCAATTCTCAGTTATTGACTCCAAGAATTTTTATTTGTTTATTTATTTCACCAGAGACCCGTTTAATCGAAAGCTAATTCGCTATTTGAAACCTTTAAAAATTTTAACGAATGAACCAAACGTCATAGAAAAGGAAGTAGCATGACTGCTGATGAGTCATGAGTCGCTAGTTTATCTTGAAGTTGTAATTTAGCGGTTTCTTCCGATTTTGGTCTGCCATACGTTTTAGAATATTTAAAGATGCCTTTTGCTGTCTTGCCTCACCTTTTTATCCCAGACCGACTAGCACAGATATGAAGAAACGAAACCGTCAGATAAAGCCGACAATGAAAGCCCATATCTGGTATCAGATGACTCCAAAACTGAATATGGTTCAGGGTGCTGGTATTTACGAAAATAAACAGAAGACTAGAATTCGTGGCTACCGTACCACGGAGATTAACAGTATTTTTAACAGAAGAATAACCATCTACTTATTGAGGACAATTTCTTCGTAAAGTCCGTAGGCGTTTAGATTGCATTAGAGCCCTCAGACATCGGGAAAAATAAAATTACGATAAATTGGCCAAGGAAAGTTTGATGAGGAGACTTATCTGCCCTGAACCCTTCTATGGCGTACCAAACGCTGGACCCATCAGACAATGGATTTAAAATAACCGCTTCCTACAAGGAAATGTAGCCTAGGACAAAGGCATGCGAAAAGTCATCAGAGGAGACGCAGAAACTAAATCTATGATTTAATGAGACAAGTTAATAGTTAGACTGCTGATTTACTTTATATATTGTTACATTTTTATTGTATATTTCTGTATTTAAATATATTTGTAAATTGGATTAATTATGTAAATTATGTATATCTACAATTATGCATAAAATCGAATGTTCGTATGTTTGTTAATCGTAAAAACGTAAACTACTGAATTCATTTCCATGAGACTTTCATACTTTGTTTTTATTAGTGCCGGGCGGGTTTACATACTATAAAATGGACATATAACAAATAATGAGCGTCATTATTTAAAAAAAAAAGAGAAATAACACTTTTTATTATTAACCCCGGGTTATAAAGCTAGTCTGTGTATACAAAAAGACTCAGAACGACTAGCCCAGATAGGAAGAGACGACAGACAATACCAGCAATAAAAGCCAGACCATATCAATTATCAGATGACTCCAAAACGAAGTTTCGATCAGGGTATTTACGGCCCTCCATAAATACCGTTATCATTTTTAAAAGATTTTTTTAAATATAAACATTTTACCAACGGTTTTATTTAAATAAATCCGATGGAAAGGCGTTTCTCTGGTTGGCTGGGGACGCGAACGCCCTTTTCGCGGTCGTCCGTCTTTCTTCGGTCAATTTCATCGTGCACTACGTCCTACATCTTTCCTACATCTACAATCTACACTGTCATTGACTAGTTTTGATCAATTTAGACTTAAGATAAATGTGGTTAATTATGCACGGGAAAAATTTAAAATTTCGTGGAAAAGTAAAAACTATTTCTAGCGCCTAGTTCTCCTTGGTTGCTTTGACTATAGTTAGGTAAATTAATTACTCTAACAAAACAACTAATTCTAATTATGTTGAGAGAAGATTTTTCGGAGGGAAAGGCGTTGCGGACGTGGCGCTCCATGTGGAACCCTTTCCCCGTCCCGTGGCCAATTCGTCCGCCCGCCCTCACTCGTTCTTCGCTGACCAGCCCTGATAAAAGCATAACCATTCTGTGACGGTTGATCGTGGAAAGCCCGCGCTCCCGAAGTCCGGACTAGTTTTCCTTTGTAGGCCTGAGTTCCTAGTCCTTTCCATTTTCTGGTAGATGGAAGAAGCATAGCCAAGGAGAGAGGAACTGCCCAGAGAGGACGAGACAGTCGGAACAGAAGAGACCTGCCAAGGATCCAGTGGAAGTAGTGTTAAAATGGGCCTCTCCGAAGAGACGGAAAGGAAGCTGCAGAAAAACCACCAGGTACGCCGACCCTCTCACTTTCATCTCAACATTTTGTCCTTTTTTCCGGTCTGGGCTCACGGTCCGTTTTTTAGTTCATTTCCCACCCGGAAAACGTATTCGGAAAAGTCCCGCCTTTTCCCAGGACGTCCGTTAATATTGGCCTGGCGTTTCCCGGGTCGCATTTCTCCATCAGGATCAAGTCGATTCTCTCATTTTCGTAATTTGTCAAGCGCTTTTATGCAAATAAATCCGATGGAAAGGCGTTTCTGGTTGACTGGTGACGCGAACGCCCTTTTCCCGGGCGTCTGCCTTTCTTCGGTCAATTTCAACGTTCCTTTATCTTCTGCCCAAAGTTATTGACCAAGTTTGATCAATTTAGACTTAATGCACTATTTTTAGAACCAAATAAAACCACATAGAATCGATTGATTTTCGCAACCCTAAGCATTGGGGAACTACGAGCAAGTTATATTTTCCACTTATTAACATAAATTTACCATCCCAAAACCGGAATAAAGAATTTTAATTAACATGAACATACGAAACATAATTGTAATGTATTTTTAACCCTGAAGGTAACACCTTTCATTTTTTGAGTTCACTCTAGGTCGAGGCCTAAATCACTTTGTAATTTATTGAAAACAACATGGTCTCACTGAACTACTGTAACCAAAAGATTTGTTCATCAATCATACTAAACTGAAGAATTGAAAACACCCAACACCACAGTTTACTATGAAAGATCAGACTAGACCAAAAATCTTTTATTTTTCACCATTGTTCACTCTCAACTGAGGCCTAAACAATAATTTTTTTTAAATTTGTCTAATTTAATTAAAATAAAAAGCCTTGTTCTACTATTGGAGCCTTTTGAAGATTTTCTCATCATTCGTACGAAACTAAAGAATTGGTCATCACCCAACACCACAATTTAGTATGAACGACCAAACAAGACCAAAAACCAATTTTTTTTGCTATTGTTCAGTTTCGACTAAGGCCTAAACAGTAATTTATTGAAATGTAACTAATTTAATTAAACTAACATGATCTTATTGCATTGCCGGAACCTTCTGAAGATTTGCTCTTCATTCATACTAAACTGAAGATTGGGACCTCACCCAACACCACCGTTTAGTATGAGATCAGACGAGCAAATCTTTTATTTTTTCACCACTGTTCACTCTCAATTGAGGCCTAAACAATATTTTGATCAGATTTGACTAATTTAATGAAATTAACGTAGTTTAATTTAACTGCTGGAACCTAAAGATTTGCTCACCATTCATACTAATCTGAAGAATTGGGAAATGGTCAGTCAAGATCAAACACCTTTCATTTTTCACCATTTTTCACTCTCGACAGGCCTAAAAGTCATTTTTTTTAAATTTGACTAATTTAATTAAAATAAAAAGCCTTGTCTGTTGCACTATTGGAGCCTTCTGAAGGTTTTCTCATCATTCGAACTAAACTGAAGAATAGGGACTGCACCCTAAATACCACAGTTTAGTATGAATGGCATGACAAGACAAAAACCTGTTTTTAAGCTATTGTTCCTCTCGACTGAGGCCTAAACAGTAATTTATTGAAATTAACAAATTTAATTAAACTGACATGATCTTATTGCACTACTGGAACCTGCTGAATTTTGCTCATCATTCATACTAAACTAAAGAACTGGTACATCACCCAACACCACAATTTAGTATGAACGACCAAACAAGACCAAAAACTTTTTTTTTGCTATTGTTCAGTCTTGAGTAAGGCCTAAACAGTAATTTATTGAAATGTAACTTCTTTTTTTGCACTGCTGGAACTGATTTGCACTGCACTGCAGAAGTTTTGCTCTCATTCATACTAAACTGAAGAATTGGTACATCACCCACTCAATTTAGTATGAAGGACCGGACAATACCAAAAAACATTTTTTGCTATTGTTCAGTCTCGAATGAGGCCTAAACAGTTGAATTGAAGATTGAAATTTGACTATTTAATGAAAATAAATATTCTAGTTTCTTGCACTATTATTGGAACCTTCTGAAGATTTTCTCATCATTCGTACTTAACTGTGAACATTTGGAACCTCACCCTAACACCACAGTTTAGTATGAATGGTCAGACAACAACAAACACTTTTCATTTTTCTTCTTGCTCACTCTCGACTGAGGCCTAAACAATAATCGTGGATGGTTAGGGATGGTTTATTGTTGAAATAATTTATTGGAATTTGACTAATTTATTGAAAATTTTATTGCCCTGCTCAAACTTTCTGATGATGGTTTTACTCATTTGTATTTCAATCAATCGGCTTTTGTGGCACAACAGGCTCAATAACCAATCTGCATAAGAAATCTGAACAAAATTATCTTTTTTTTAAATAATTTTGTACTGACAGATTTAGGATTTTGTGGCCTGTGAACCTAGTTTCACTCCAATGATAATTTCAGTTAAAGATCATTCATACTAATCAGTGGTGTCCAAATTTTCCACATTTTAATATGAATTATTAAAAACGACCAAACAGAAAAAAATTTGTCAGAATTATTTTTGAGCCTCGAGAAATGTAGTTTGATTAGGACTTGGGACTTAATAGCACAAGGTTTCAATAAGACCATGTTTGTTTTATGAAATCCATATTCTTTGCTTTCTTGAGAGAGACTCTTAGTGAGGGTAAGATCTCCTTTAAACAATATAAAGACTGAGGAGGGGCTGAGTGCTGGTTGAAAAATTAAAAACAAAAAATTAAAACTGGTGGAAAAGCTCAAGAAAGAAAAGAATGTTTATGCAAAAGAAGAGAAAACACCATAATAAATTTATGTTGAGTAAAATTGCGATTTAAAAAAAATTGTTTAGGCACTGCCCAGAGTGAACAATGAGGGGGAAAACAGTGTATTTGTTGTTACTGCCAGAGTTAAAAGAGATAGGTTTGTTCTTCATGATCCAGATTTTGCGTGGTAAACATTTAATTTTGAATCAATTTCTGAGTGAGAATGGGCGTACTCAGAAGATAAGAAGTGATCATAAGAAGTGTTCATCATCTCACAGATTTCAAGAAGAAAACTGATCAAATTTTGTATAATTTGGTCATCTCTGATCATTTTAATCTGCTTATTCTTATTGCTTTGGCCTACGAGAAATTTTGGTTTTATGGCTCCACCAAACTACAGGCTTAACACCCAACTGATCTCAAGATGAAAACTGACAAAATTTTGAACAAATCTAATCATTCATTCAAAAATCAAATCAGTCAAACACATTTGAAACAACTCCACTTGGGAAAATGTGTTTCAGTTTTTCAGCATTTTTAGTTGCTAGGGCAAGGAATAGACAAAATGGGAATGTTTGAACAAACCATAGTAAAAATTATATTAATTAATTTAGAAAAAATAAAGTTTTAGAAATGATGAATAAAATAATGTTAAGTAATCAAGTCCAAAGAAACTAACAAAAACATAGTAAATTTATGATAGATTGTAAATGTTTATACAAATTGTTGAGAATTGTTACTTTTCAGGACCTCTGCAAATCGCTGAATCTGGACAAAGGCACATCAAATGAGACTTGGAAGACATTTAAAAAAGTCTACGACACAATTGTTTTAGATGGCAATCCTTTACACTGGCTTGGATGCGCTTTGTACATTTCCTGCAAGACGTCAACGACACCGAGCGTGAGTAAAAGCCATGTCGTCATCCAGGGGAATCAAGTGAGCCTGGATCGGCTCGTACGTGCTATTGATCTTAATTTACAAGAGTTCTTTATTAAAATTCGAAAATGGGTGTCAGTTCAAGATCTACAGCCTGAATTAAGGGAAAACATAATAAAATTAGAACAAGTCTTCAATGTGTCTGTGATTCTCTTTAAAAAGTTCCAACCAATATTCTATGACATGTTCCAAACAGTATCGAGCGAACAATCAAAGAATCACAAGTCAAAGAAATTGCGTCAGCCGCTTCCGAGCATCAACAGGGTGTTTGAATTCACCTGGGGCCTTTTTCTTAGCGTAAAGGCCAATTTTCCAAACATCGTAAACGATCTTGTAAACCTGTACCCACTTTTGCTTTGTTGCTGTGATTTTATCTACGCGAATGCCGTTTTGTCTGGACGAAAGGACATAATCAAGGAAGGCTTTCAAATCCAGTACAAATCAAAGTACAATGACATCTCAGAGGTCCCTTGCATAATTGACAGGCTTTGTGAACTTCATGATGGCATTCCGATTGATGTGAAATCTGTTAAAGAGTATTGCTGGCGTAAGCAAGTGAAGGCTTTCTTTGATAAGTCTATACTGAAAGGGAATGCAGATTTGCTATCAGGTGTTTTGGACATCAACAATTTTGACCAGAACTTCAAGTCTATTAACAAGAATTACGAAGAGTTTGTTCTGAGTTCTTCGAGCTTTGATGAGAGAGTCTTCACAGGATACCAAACAAATGGCAAACTAGTGACAGATTCAGTTTTAAATTCAAATGAAAAGGATCCTAAGCGAAAGTCTTCCGATAAATCTAATAATGTAATAATGCCTTTTAAAAAGAACTTTACCTTTGATGGGGAGGTGCCTTCAGTGATATCTGTGAAGCCAGGTCCTACTCTCAAAAATATTCTTTCTTGTCGGCCTCTGGGACCTGGAGAGTACCTCAAACAGCTGAAATGTACAACAAAGATGGAAGAAGTTGTTGTCAGCCTGTCTTTAAAACTAGTAAAAAGTCTTACCAGGCTGAACTCAGATGAAGAACTAAAGTCTAATATAAAAGAAAATGAATATATTGTCAGTTTAGTGAATAAAATGTTTTACAAACTTTTGGACTCAATTTTGGCTGAGGAAATAAAAAAGCCGGACTACGACGCTGAACGTTTATTGAATCAAGAAATAGTGATAAACACCCTTTTTGCCTGTGCTTTTGAAATAATATCTTACACGATGGAATTGAAGAAAAATTTTCCTTGGATTTTAGAAGTTTTAAATGTAAATGCGTTTCACTTTTATAGAATTATTGAAGTCGTCGTTAGGAACGAAGACTCTTTGAAGAGAGACGTCATCAGACATCTCAAAGTGATTGAGGAGACAATTTTAGAAAGTATGGCTTGGAAAAAGGATTCCCCACTTTGGACAGCCCTTATTGAGTCGACACAGCCCATTCCGACGTCCGAAGATGTGATTGTATCGTCGGCAAATGAAGAAGGCAGAGAAAATGATGACAACCTGGAACTCAAAATCGATGTTCTCGCCGGAAAATCAATTAATTTGGTACATTCTCCTGGTGCACCTTTGGCCGATAAATTTCTTTCACCGAATCGGAACAAGAGACAAATCGGTGAAACAGTTCACGAATGGGAACCGGCAAATAAAGTACTAAAGATGGCTAATGAACAAAATGTGCATAATGTGGAGAAGAGAGGGGTGAAGCCAAAGAGGACTGGATCAATTGCGCTTTTCTTCCGAAAATTTTATTATTTGGCTTCTGTAAGACTGAAGGATATGTGCAATCAATTAAGGCTAGTCGATTCGGATTTGAGAATGAAAATATGGACTTGCTTTGAAAAGACAATAGTTCAAAATGTGAGTCTTATGTTAGATCGTCATTTGGATCAAATGTTAATGTGCTCAATATATGTTATATGCAAAATAGTCTCTCGGGAAATTTCTTTTATGGACATGATGAAATGTTACCGTAACCAACCCCAAGCCAAATCTCATGTCTACCGGAATGTGTTGATCAGACCTAACAAAACTTTAGAAGAGCTCAAAACAAACAATAATGCGGACGAACAGGAAGAAAAAGGTGATATAATAAAATTCTATAATGAGATATATATCCAAAAGGTCAAGGAATTGACTAAGAAATTTAGAAACCAGGGTGAGAATGACAGATTAGTTTTATCTCCAATTCCCACCAGGAAATGCACACCTGTCAATTGTCCGAAGAGAGTGTCTGAATCACTTCCGATCTATCTCAGCGGGCATAAAAGGTACTTGTCTCCAAATTCTAATCCTCTCAATTATTATTTCGCCAAAAGCCCTGCTAAAGATCTTAAAGCTATCAACATGATGGTGAGCCATGAAATGATACCGAAATTGGGCAGACAACTGTTAAACGACAATGCGCCAAATGTACCGGCTGGGTCATTGGCCACTCGGAGGGTGAGAGATGTGTTCGCCGAAAGAATGAATATAATAAATTAATTTTAATTTTACATATTATTCATATTTTGATTTCAGTTTTAATGCTTTCCCAGATATTTTATTTTGTTGTATGGCATTAGTTTATGTTAATAAAATTAAAGTTTATTTATTTACTACTAAAAAACACTAAATAAATAAATTGATATATCAATATATATNAACCTTTCCTTTCTGAAAACATACGCTTCTTCATTATAAAACAGACTATTCCGTGTTTTATGAACGTGAGTTAATTGATTAATTTTTATTACTATTATTTTTATAATTTTAGAGTGTGCATTTATTTTTTATTATTTTGTAAAAGGCAGAGTTTTTATTCCTACTATAATGAACTAAGTGCAAGAAGAAAGAAAGAATTATTCAGAAATTTATGTCAGCACCTTGTTTGTTAGTTGTGTGTTTGCAGTTGAAATTAAATATTTATCTCAAATTGGTAGTTTTATTTTATTTATTTAACCTTTTTAGAGAACGAGTAAGAATGCCAACTGATTTTGAACAACAACAACACAATTTCTGTTTTCTATTACGATTTTTGGAGGAAACAAATTACACGTTTTTTGTGTATCATGGGAGTGAATTTATTTTTATAATTCCAAGGGAGGAATATCAAATACTCAATCATCGTTGTGTATGCGTAGAAAAGAATGTATTTAAGGAATGACAGCACTTAGTGGCTTTTTGGCTAAAATCCATTAGCTGAAGCATGCATGACTGCAGCTGAAACAATGCAAGGCAAAAGTTTTAGTTGCACCTATGGATATGCGTAGATTTAACAACAAACAAAAAAATAGCGTTTTCTATTCTTCAGGAAGAGAACCACCAGGTTATCGACACATCATTGTGCACTATCGGCAAAGCATTCCAAAGTTAATTTCTGTTTTAAGCACTCATTGTGAATCCATGTTTTACCCACTGATATATTCCTTAGTGAACCAGGATATGACTGCAAAATGACCCACAATGCCACGAGAAAACGAAACAGTTGTGAACTACTAACAATGTATGTTTGCTTGCTATTTGCATATATCATTTATAAGAAGTACTAGAAAAAAAATGTACAAGACATTTATATGCGTAATTAAAAAAAGATGTTTTGTACCCAAGGATGGGTTATTTATTTTTGGAATTGGATTGTGCACTAACACTCCACGGATGGTGGCCACCTGTCACCCCCATTTATTTCTTCCCTTCTTCTAGATTATTTTTAGAATAGAACACGGCTAGGGGGTTGTTTTGCAAACTTTATAAGAAGAAATAAACATGTTCTGGGGATAAAACTATCCCGCCAAAAACACTAAGTTGAAGGGAACATGTTACAAATTATTATCTGTTATTGTTACTGTTGTTTCAATTTCATAAATATGTTGCATGGGGGAAGACTCGTTATGGAATGATGTCCGTAATGAAAGTATTAATTAAAAAAAAGGTATTTGATTGACATATTTCTAGAAAATAATTTGGTTTTTGACTAATAGGGTGCCATTGCAAAGTGAGATTATATGAGTGTACTAATTGGTACTTTTTAAAGGCACATTTGCCTTTCTAAATATTTGTTTCTAACACTATTTTATACTCAATTCGATTGAGATGGGAAGTTGGTGTCCGAGTGGATCAAGGTCACGATAGCTCAAGTGGTAAAGCAGCGGCATATCAAGCCGAAGATCGTGGGTTCGAATCCCGCTCGTGCCATTGACTTTTTTATCTCAACTAAAAACCTTAACTAATTATAATATATTAATTGGTCAAGCGGACCACAAAATTAGTGAATTTAATGATTTAAAAATGAAGTATAATTCACTAAAGCTCTCCGTGGCCATTTCATTTGTCGTTGAGAATCCAATCCAATTACACGACATTTGAAAAATGGCAAAAAGGAGGGAAAATTCAAAAGGTGCGGTTGAGATGGGAAGTTGGTGTCCGAGTGGATCAAGGTCACGTTAGCTCAAGTGGTAAAGCAGCGGCGTATCAAGCCGAAGATCGTGGGTTCGAATCCCGCTCGTGCCATTGACTTTTTTATCTCAACTAAAAACGTTAATTAATTATAGTATTTTATACACTAGACAAATAGGATGATTAAAATAAATTTATTTTTCTAATTTTTTCTTGTGGCTTCTGTGTGAGATGTACAGATTCCCATGGAGAGCAAGGTGTATATTTTTTGTGGAGGTCATCAATATTTTTCTCTTTGTGATCAAGTCTATATTCATATTAACATCAGGTGTGTTGATCATTTGTCAGCACTTGAATGTATTTCTGTCACTTAAATTGATCCTTTGAATCTACCGTTTCTTCAGAATTCTATCGTAAGTAAACAATTATTTTAAAAACCATAACATGTTTATAACTTTAAAATTACATTAATGTGTAGATTTTCTAATGTACGGCTGGGAAGGGGGTCTTATAGGTTATTTCTTGTTTTTAACGTTTACTTCTCCTATTCCAGTTATTTTAGGAAATGGGATTTTTTGGAAAATAAGAGTTTTTATTGCAGTTAATCTTATGGCATATATAAAAAGTTTGGTGATAGATGTATTTTGGGTTAACTGTTTCATGAGAATGTATTCATTAGCGCGAATGTGTATGTAGTACAAGGGTGTCAATATGTTGTTATCAAATACTCCATTGACCTTCAGAGTAGTAGACAGGATGAGTTTAACTTATGCCTGTCCCTTATATAAAAATTTAAACAGCTAACTATTTCAAATGGCAAGATACTCGTCAGTGTACATGTAATGTATGAGACATTTTCACATTATGGATAGTAAATCGAACAATGTAAAAACTAAACTTGGTTAGTTACAACTAAGCTTGAACTTGTGTCATGGTTTTTAACATAAGTGTTAATATTGGATTAAAAGTATAACATTACAATCAATTTTGGGGATTGTTCATAAGCATGAAGAATCAACAAAACAATTTTTATTTAAACTGTTGGGGCTGAATTCTGCTGTAATGAATAAATTAACATCCATAGCGTCCTGTACATCGATGTTATTTAAGGAAATTTTGTGAAGTTTTAACATATGTGAAACAATTAATTTAGTTGAAATTAAAATGATAAATAATTAAATTGGTTCTTGGTTGTAGAAGTGATTTTGTAAAAAAAAAAAATAATAATATCAATTAATTATTCTTTTAATGTAAGGTCTCCTTGTAAGGAAAAAGTTGGTGTCACGAGTAGGATTCAAACCCATGACCTTAGGCTCAATATGCCGCTGCTCTAACCACTTGAGCTATCGTGACTATTATCTGCTCGGACACCAACTCCCCATTTCAACCTACAACCTTTGAAATTTTCCTCCTTTTTGCCATATTTTCAAATATCCTGTAAACAGGATTCAATTCTCAGCGACTTATGAAGTGGCCACAGGAAGCCGTTAGTGAAGTAATACTTCTTTACTTATTATATGTTAATCCATTTGTGTTTAGTGGTCTAATTGACCATTTTAATTATTTAATTACTTATTCTGTTATGTAGATCTTGATTGAGATGAAAAAGTTTGTGCCTCAAGCGGGATTCGAACCCACGACCTTTGGCTCGATATCTGGCTGGTCTAACCACTGCTTGTGGCACTAATTTTTTCATCTCAACCAAGACTTTACATAAAAAGAATAATTAATTGAAATAATTAAAATGGTCAATTAGACCAATAAACATGGGTTTATAAATAAGTTCTTTTGTGAACAACTTGAGAATGGTTGATCCAAATTAAAAATTGTTTGCATTGTTTGAATCTCACTGTCCTGGAAAGTTAAATCAAAACTTTTTTATTTCATGAGAAACTAGACAAAAAATAAAAATTTATGGGACATGGTTTTTTCCCTCAAAAATGCCCTAATGAAAAAAATATAGGAAGGAGGAACAGAAGTTAAACTCATATGTAAAGGTTTATTACTACTGGTCAAATAGTATTCCGCGTATTACTTCTGGTCAAATAGTATTCCCTGTATTACTACTGGTCAAATAGTATTCCGCGTTACTTCTGGTCAAATAGTATTCCCTGTATTACTACTGGTCAAATAGTATTCCTCATATTACTGCTGGTCACATAGTATTCCTCGTATTACTACTGGTCAGATAGTATTCTTCGTACTACTTCTGGTCAAATAGTATTCCGCGTATTACTTCTGGTCAGATAGTATTCTTCGTATTACTACAGGACAAATAGTATTCCGCATATTACTTCTGGTCAAATAGTATTCCCTGTATTACTACTGGTCAAATAGTATTCCTCGTATTACTGCTGGTCAAATAGTATTCCTCGTATTACTACTGGTCACATAGTATTCCTCGTATTACTTCTGGTCAAATAGTATTCCTCGTATTACTACTGGTCAGATAGTATTCTTCGTACTACTTCTGGTCAAATAGTATTCCACGTATTACTTCTGGTCAGATAGTATTCTTCGTATTACTACTGGACAAATAGTATTCCTCGTATTAATACTGGCCAAATAGTATTCCTCGTATTACTTCTGGTCAAATAGTATTCCACGTATTACTTCTGGTCAAATAGTATTCCGCGTATTACTTCTGGTCAAATAGTATTCCTCTTATTACTGCTGGTCAAATAGTATTCCTCGTATTACTACTGGTAAAATAGTATTCCTCGTATTACTCCTGGCCAAATAGTATTCCTCATATTACTTCTGGTCAAATAGTATTCCTCGTATTAATACTGGCCAAATAGTATTCCTCATATTACTTCTGGTCAAATAGTATTCCTCGTATTAATACTGGCCAAATAGTATTCCTCGTATTACTTCTGGTCATATAGTATTCCTCGTATTACTTCTGGTCAAATAGTATTCCGCGTATTACTTCTGGTCAAATAGTATTCCTCGTATTACTTCTGGTCAAATAGTATTCCTCGTATTACTACTGGTCAAATAGTATTCCTTGTATTACTACTGGCCAAATAGTATTTCTCGTATTACTACTGGTCAAATAGTATTCCTCGTTAAAACTATCTAGTTTTAGACCCAATAGCCTTGATGGTGAATACTCTATTTTTATGAGGGGCATCTAGCCTTCCTCCTCCCCACTGATGTAAGAATTAAAAAATATGCTGAAATATAAAAAGTAGGTAAAGAAAATTGCTCTGCTTGAGAACACCTCCTTTTTTTAGCGAAGCCTGGCTCCATGTTGATAAGTCGACATTTGCTTGAAATAACATTAGTTAGTGGGTTCCATTGTCCACACTTTATAGTGCTCCTGTGGTTTATCGTAGCTGGCTCACCGTGATAATGAAAAGTAATGAGGATTCAATAAAACTTCTGCCAAAAGAGTAAACATTTACAAATATTAAGTAAATGATCAAACATGGATTATGGCTTATTACAATAAAATAATAATTGATGAATTTTAGGATTTCAAATTTACTATATTCCCATAACATGTTATAACATTTATTTAATGGTCAATCCACAGAAACTTACAATGAAAAATTCAAAACACCAATGAAAAACTAAAGTCTCAATATCAGAAATATATGTTTAAATATATTTATAAAAAGCTGTTGCAGCTAACAATAAAACGTAATTTATAATACACGACCCGCATTAAACACAACGTAATGTACAATTTAATAAACAGTTTGATCTCTCGGTTTGATTGTTTATTACATGAAAAAAAATTAATGTAACATTAAAACAATTTCTGTTATTCAGTAATTAATTGATCTACAGTTAAACATCAACTCATTCTATAATCTATAAATCTAATCACATCTATTTCATATTCTTTATTGAATATAACAATCGAAAGTTGTCTATAAATTCGTTTAAACGAACAGCAATAATATAAATTCCAATTGTTACATCCAAGTAAAGAATAAACACAAGAAACAAGTGCATTTATTTAAATAGTTCACTATAATTTCTTTTCTTTTTTTTAATATTGTATTAACTACATTCAACACTGCTGCCGCTAGGGTTCATATAGGAACTGTATACAGAAACTACCGTTTCTTAACTATTTTGACACGTGCTCAACCAAAAAAGGCACCAAGTCCCTCAACAATGATTATTAATAAAATTTGAAGTTTTATATTAAATAATTTCTTCTAGATATCACAACTATTTTACTATTTCATTTGAAAATTAATGGGAGGGGGAAGAAAAGACTTAATCGATTATGTCCTGTTGAGGATCGACACTATAGATAGGAACCACATTTTACAAAACAGCATAGTCATTAGATGCTCATTAGCACATTTATTTTCTATTGATGAAAGAAAATATTTCCTAAAGACAATACATTATGGCATGTAAAGTAATCATTGCAAATATGGCACAGAGCAAATTTTTGCTTCATTATAATAAGCTCATTCACATATAACGATAATAATAATACAAGTCACTCGGAAGTATGGTTTGTACATAAATGAAACAACTTTTTGATTTATACTTTATTTCTTTAAGAAATTTAGTATATTCACATAGATTTAAATTTTAGAATTTCAAACAATATAGTCCAGGGCATTAATCAAATAATGGGTTTTCTAGCTTGATGGAACGTGTTGAGACAACTGGAAGATTTTACATTTCACTAAATCATTTATATTTTACTTCCAGAGCGACTTCGTTTAACATTAAACAGGTTTTAATTTTAAAATAACAAACAATAACTTTTGTGTGTGTATATATTTATACATATACACACCACAATTGGACTCAATGTAAACATTAATCAGTACAATATTAAGTTAAAAAACTTACATTAAATTAAGTAATCAATAAAATTTACTCCTTTCCTTTCACGTTTTTTAAAATATAATTTGTTTTTGATTTGATCAAATTAATTTTAAACAATTAATTGTTTGTGGTGAATTAAACACTTTTATTTTAATTAGAGCTATAAAATATTTTTCATGAAACATTCGTACATAGTCTATATATATTTATATAAGTTTATGTACACTCCAGACATACGCACATTTTAAGCAAGCACCAATAATTATTTACATTTCTGTACACTAAAACATCTACAAAACTATCTAAAACACACTTTTATGTTCTTTTTGCAGTCACGAATTGTAATTTTTTTAAACTATCGGTGTTTTATCAGAGCAAAAACTACTATTTTTGTCAATTTTTTTTTAATAAAGTTATTTTTTTTTTATCAACTAAGCTTACACTATAATTCTTTTCACAACTGTACGGTATGCCACGTATTTGTTTATAACACGGTTTGTGTTTTTAATTTATATAACAAACAATAATAATAACGATTCCAGATAATTAATATTTTTCACACAAAATATTGTATTGTTAGTGACAAATGGGATTATGCCAAACTTAATCACTTAAACCAACAGTGCACAATCAGTCTTGAGAACACTAATTCCCTGTCTAGGAAACATTGTTTTATTTATTTATTTATTCTTTTTTATCTCTGTAAAAATTATCAAAACTACCAGTCAGTCAGGCAAAACCGATTTTAAGGCTAAAATTGAATCAGTCTTATTTTTTTTTTTTTTTTAATTAATCGGTTTTAGCGACTGGCTTAAAAATTTTACCGGAGTGCAAACTATAAAAATATGTATATGTACCTATGGTTGGAGATTTTTACTGAATATAAAAAGAAATTGCTTATTAGAGTTTATTTTTGTACTTTAGGTAAACGACGGGAAAGTAGTTTACATTTTCCTCTTAAAAACAAAAATATATGACTATAAAAATGTGCACTAAATCTACTACCTGTATTCCAATTGTACATAAATGCACTTTAAGGTTAAATGTAAGACTGTTAGGTACAGTGTATTATATCTGGGCAGGATTTTGGAAGCCTAACGCTTACTCAGAAGTTTAGGTTTCCCTTTCTAGTTACTAAAAATAGCAATTTTAATTTGATGCACGTCTGGACGAGTTTTTCTTTTGCTTCTTTACATATGAAAAAAAGACTAAATTATCAAATTTTGTATCAAAGTTACTTCCATTATAATTTTTTTTCAATATAAGATATAGCGATTATATTTTTTAAATTGAATTATAACAACAAATATATCAGTTCTGCTATACTCTTCTTAATTTCTTTAACTAGTAAATATAAGTACTTTTGTTAAAATCTTTATTTAATCTAGTGAAAAACTAAAACTGATGTTATTAATTTCCTATTTAACATAACTGAAATGTGGTTCTTCACATTTCATCTCTTTAACTCCCCGGTTTTAAGTGACTGTGCTGGGGGTCACAGAATTTTTAAAGAAACTTCTATTTTACATCTTAAAATAATATTGCTCTATTCTTGTAAACCACTTCCTGACAAAAGAGGTAGATTTAAAAAAAAAATCCTTTGTATTAGTGATAAATATATATGCATATACATATTTATTATGTCGATATAACAGTGAATATATTTGTACTTTCATTTCCTAATTATCTAATAAACAAAAATAAATTTAAAAACATTATACAATCAATCACCTGAGATTGTCTTCTGGGACAACATCGTGGGAAAATGTTTTGTGAACTTTATTTGTGTGTCCAGAGGTAGAGAGCAAAATATGTAAGCATTGTCATAAAGCTTTATAGCAATTTGCCTGAGGTAGTTTGATTGGAATAATTCAACTTCCTAATTTAATAAGAAAATAAAAATTTGTTTACGAAACAATGACTAACAAGAATCAAATGTAGATTTCACAGACTGACATAAAACTGAGGTAGTTAATAACTATATCCAAACATTTTATAATTAACCTTATACTAAATATTAACCCGTTTATTGCAAATGTTTTACTTGCCTGAGGTAGACTATGAACTTTTTATAACTACATAACAATTAATGGCACTACTGGGAGTTTTGGGGAAGATTCTGACACGATGCTTCCTGTTTTAAACAACACATTTTGTGGCCAATAGTTGTGGCCCTTTTATGAAGCTTAACATCTTGTTAACACTTATGTGTATCTATATGTAAGCGGAATGCTAAAAACAAGGCTACTCGGCTTTAATCGGTTCAGGTTCATGTTCTTCCTCACTGAAATCATCCTCTGGCTCAGAAGATTCTTCGACCCCTCTGTCATCCATCAATGCCATCCTTCTTTGCTCCTCGGAGACCTTGGCTGCCATCTTAGCCGCCTGCTCTGCCGACAGGTGCAAACCTGCAGAATTTTCTGCTATGAATTGCAGATATGTGTCTAGGATTGCAGAACCTGTCGAAGGACCCCGAGGATCCTTGTTGTTGTGGTGTGGCGGCATCTGGGGCGGGGGTGGTGAAGACATGGGATGTCTGATCGGTGGTGACAGGGGCCTTATATCGACACTGCAGAACCTCGAGGCGGGTGTCGAATGATTATTGTGAACTGTCAAATCCTCAGGATCGTCAGAAGACTTCAGTTCAAGTCTCACTTCTGGTCTTCTAGGAGGCCCTGTCGGTGACGCCCTTGCCCTTAGTTCAGCAGCAGATACCTACAAAAATATCAACAATATTATTTTTAATGTTCCTTCCCATTCCAGTTCAACAAACTGTGATGAACAAATATGGAATAATGGAATCTTTCTTTAGATGAATAATTTTAAATTTATGTTACAAAACAATAACAATGTTGTACTTTCTCTAAATTTGTCATACTTCACTATTTAATATTAAAAATTTTCTCTAATGTAAAACTGAAGAATTTGAAATAAGCATGCAAATTTTTCTCGCAAAAGTGTGAATATTGTACAGAAACCCAACTCTTGTGTATCAATAAACTTAAATTATAGTTTTATTTTTAAGCAGGTACTTCTCAAGTGTTTAAAAAGTTTTACATAAAAAAATTATAAATGAATACCTTAACACCAGCTTTTGCAAGCAATCTTGAGGCAAGTTCTGGGTCGAAAGGTGAAGGCATCGGGAGTACCGGTAGGTCCTTGGTGCTGATCCCCCTGTGCTGCCTGCTCATGTGCGAATGCAGTGAATTCCTTGACTTGGCTACCGTGCCACATAGGACGCACCTGTACCCAGGACAGACGGTGTGCTTGTCCTCTAAATGCGTCCTCAGGGTGTGTGCCGACCTGTATATTTTACCACATTTTGGGCAAGGTCTAGGGTCAGTGGCACGCACCCTCATCATATCCAATCCACGCCTTGACACTAAAAATAGGAAATAATCTTCAACTGAATCGTCTTTTCTTTTCTCCTATTGTGTAATGGGGTGAGGGAAATTATAAGGGGTTCTCGAATTTTTGCAACTTTGGCCAACTAATTAGACTTTTTATTCAGGTTAATTTTAAACAAAAGAACAGTTAGTCAATCTATTAGGTGAGTTTCAGCCTACTAAGAGTTTGTGTTAAGTTGTTATTTAATGAAAATGTTAAAAGTTAGAAGAAAAATCAGTTATTTGATTGAAAACAGGGTGTACAAAATAATTTGTAAAATAAAACTATTGAAACTTGTTTTCCCATTAAATTATTAAAATATTTAAGTGAAATGTTCAACATATAGGAGGTAACAAAATAAAATAAAAATAAAACAAATCCCAGTATTGAAAATAGATCGAATATGACACCAAAAATCAAAAAGTTTGTTTCAAATTAGATAATTTAATTTGAATAATCAGGCTTTTGACATATGGGCTATTATTTAATATCTTGTTTCAATCCAATAATATTTGTATTTATTATTGTCACTTACGAACTATTGAAAAAATGTAAAAAGTTTTATAAATAACATTTCAGTTAATACTTATAATATACTATAACAACAGCAAAAATAATTTAGTTCAACCATAGATTCAATATATAATATGATCAGTACAATTTCTGTAGCGTACACACACAACGAAAAAAAAAATGAATCAAAAGTTTTTCTTTTAAACGTCTTTATTATTTATTCTAATCTTTGTAATGACATCTAATGAAATGTTTACATTTATTTGTATTATAGATTACAAATTGTAAAATAATCAGTCTTAAGATTTGTCATATTCATATGATATTTTCATTGGTTGGCTGCAAAAAATTCACAATATTTTTCTTGCAGATAGCATGTGTTAAACTTTACCGCTTAAAAGCTAAGCTAATGTCTGTTTTTATAAATTACTAATAAAATAGATTTTTTGATAATTTAAATATTTCTAGTTATAAGGAATGAAAAACATGTTCTGCGTTAGGTACAAAAGGAAAATCGTTTTGTTTAGTGTCGAACAGACATTGAAATAATTCACAAGCTTCACATTCTAATTGTCTATTATTATTTTTTATACAATCTAGACAAATTAATCTATATGTATATATAATATTGTAAATTTATCTATAACAACTAACGAGGATACAATTTTCATCGAATTACTGTACAAGCAAAACTTTGTACACGTAGAGAAAAATCAATTTAATTCTATAAATACATTATTGAAAACGTATTTTCAGTTAGTCTTAGAAATTGAAAAATCCAGCTGGAAAAAGTAAAGAAATTTGAAGCCTCTTCAAGCAAGTGATGTAATTTTTTAAAAATAATTAGTACCTTAGTTTCACAATAAGAGACAAATATAACAGTTAATATAATAAATATTAGAATCACATACTTGTATTTGTGAGTTGAATATGTAGTAACAATTTATATCCAGTCTAAAAGCTCAAAGTATATAATAAAATGTAAATTTTTATTTATGTAATAACATTTTCATTAATCAAGCATCTTTCTTAAAGTTGAAGCAATTTTCACATTATAAGTTGAATTACTGAAAATTTTTGTTGCACTATATATATATAAAAAAAAAAAAAATTAATTTAAAAAAAATTGCAGAATACAGTGGAGTCCCATTAACCTGAATACCTGTCTAATCTGAACATGTTTTGGTAGGTGGATTAAAAAAATGTTTGAAAATATACTTTTTTTTTGTATAGTATGTATAGTAACTATTTTTGCTTTGTCAATTGCAAACTCTTCTGCCGATATTTTGCGAAATTTCATCCAAAAGTTCTATGATTTCATTCTTTCTGAACTTTTAGATCTGCCCATCATTATTGTTTCTGTCTTTCAGACGTATTTCGACTTGTTGCCTTAACCAAACTAAAGACGGCAAGAAGTCAAAATGCACCCGCTAAAAACAAAAATGCAAGGATAGGCAGACCAAAATGACCCAAAACTACTTAACTACTCAATCACCCTTGTCCTTCTTTTTCAAAACTTCCAGCCTATTTTTCAAAGTATACCACTTGTTATGGTATTTCTACCAGACCTGTTTTACATGTTTCTGAATTGTTAATCCAAACAGTGCTCATTCCCAATCAGTTCGGACTAGCAGGACTCCACTGTATTTGTAACTATTTTGAGCGATAATCTGAAAACAACTTAATAGAAGTCACAATTAATTAAGGTTTTTAGTTGAGATAAAAAAATCAATGGCACAAGCGGAATTCGGACCCACGATCTTCGGATTGATACGCCGCTGCTCAAGTGGTAGAGCAGCGGCGTATCAAGCTGAAGATCGTGGGTTCGAATCCCGCTCGTGCCATTGACTTTCTTATCTCAACTAAAAACCTTAATTAATTGTAATATATTAATTGGTCAAGTGGACCACTAAATTAGTGAATTTAATAGAAGTTGATGAAAACAAAGAAGACATGAAAAATAAAAATGTTAAATAAATCAAGAAATATTTTTTAAAAAGCCATAGCAATTATTTAGCAACTTTTAGGGTCAGCGTATAACTTCTACACTGTAACAGTTTGGTTAAGCTAATAATATTTAATTTATGAAATAGTAATGTCTTCTCATAGGCTAACTTTTAGAAAAATAATATAATAATATGTACACATTTTGATCAACAACAAAATTAACTATAGAACAGAGGTATAGTAAATATAGTATTTTAATCAATAATACACAAATCACTAGAGGTATCAAGTTTTGTGCTGAATGTGACTAGAATGCTACATTATAAAGTATTTCAGGTTATTTGATAACATTGTATATATTGTTTTTGCAGGTATTGCAATCTAGGAGTAACAAAGTTGTTAAATTGTAATATAAAAGGTTTAAATTTGTTACTGCTTTACAATTGCACCACAATATAATTGAGTGTCTGTAATATAATCTACAAAAATAAGCACTTTGTGTTAAAAAAATAAAAGAAACTTTTCACTAGCCCGTTTTCTATGTAGATCACAAGCATGTTCTAAACATAGGGTGTTATGTGGGTCCATTTAAGGCTCTTCATCTTCACCCATATTTTGGAATGTTTTTCCCTCATGTGATTTCTGACAGAATTTGGATGGGAGAAGAGCCTTGCACACGAAGGCACGGGGCATGTAGGGGAATCACGAGGGTAATGCTGGTCGATGTGATTTCGTATTGTTAGCAGGTCTGGGAAAGTGTCTTCACACAATGGGCAACTGTATTCTTGCTCATCTGGAACCCGACCCGTTTCGATAAGTCACACATAAAGAGTTGTTAAAACATGCATGTTAAAATTAAAAAAAGAATAAAAAGGAAGGAGAGGCGATAGAAGTATTGGAGAAAAGTATGAGATTAGGAACTTTTTTTAAGAAAAACTTTTTATAAAAATTTATGATAATTATTGCATTTTATAGCCAAAATAAATTAAAAAGCAAACAGAATAAACAAGCAAGAAAAAAAAATTTGGTCAACAAAAATGAAATGCCTAATTTTGCACAAGTCCTTTATGCATTTATATCTTAAAATTATTTATTTTTAGTGTTTTATTTTGAGGCCTCTTCATCAGGGGCTACATACAAATACTATTACCAAAACATAAAAAATATTCATTATCGAGCCCTTTTTTTTATAACAAGTCAAAATTATATTCCCTTCTAATTCTGTATAAAATATGGAAAATAAATAAAACAGGATGGCATATATATAATAAAAGAACAAATACCAACTGGAATACTTTAGGAATGTTTACCTTTTTTTTAAAGGAAAGAAATCCTGAGAAAATTTTGACAATGATGGTGTATTTTTAAAATGATGCTAGATTAGGTGAGAAAAAATATCGGTGAAGAGATATCGATAAAATTGAAGAAAATCTAATCAGCTCTCATGAATTTTAGATTAAGCAGGAAATTTTTCAATTTAATAAAACATTTACATATGTTTGTAATCCAACCGACTTACAGGACACATATATTTATTATTAAAAAAAAAATTCTGGTGGGTAGAACTTGTTAAATGAAAATGAAATTCAACTATGATAATTCATTACTAATTGAATGTTTTTAAACAGCGATATCCCTGCATTTGTAAGATTAAACTTGAAAAACAGGTTCTTTACACTACTGACAAAGAATATGTCTTTAAAATCCCCTGATGGTTCATACTTATTAAATTAAATTTTCTACATCCTGTGCTGAGCTCATGGCAGTTATATAGCAAATCTTTTTATCATTATTGTTGACCAAAATAAAATGGAATAAATTAATATTTTAATCATGAAGTAATGTCTGCAGATTCTAATGCTGAGTAAATTAAGCGGTAAAATTCTGCAAGTTTAGTAAAAAGACTGAATATAACATGTCAAATTATGGGATTATGCTGGAAAGTGAGAATTAAACCTGTTTTCAGGAAAGAAAAATAATTAAGCCTTCAACTTTGGAAACACCATCGTTAAAATAAAACAAAAACTGTGTGAAATATATGTGTAAAATTTAATCTTTCTGAGTTCCAAGGGACAGAGGGAGATGAAATGAAAGTCTGTGTCAAATGGCAAGTAATTTCCAGTAAAATGTTTCTAGAGAACGCACATACACCATTGTGTTATCAAGCTTGTCCATGCTGCCTATATGCCAAATACTGAACCACACCACACCAAATACCTTTTAGACCCACCAACCCTTAGATGCACTAATATCGCATTTACAAAAGAAAAGAATAAAGCATCATTAATAGTATTTTGTTTTTGAATAATGTCATTATTAAGGTTGCATTGGATAAATTGAGTTGTATGTTTTTCGTTGTCTTATTCCGTGCGTGGCCAATAGATGAACTTGAAGATACTGTCGAGTCTTGAAGGTCTTGGAACAAACGTAGCATGTCTCCCACCTCCCAGTAGCTGAGTGTACGTTGGCTATATGCTGCTTCAAATTGCTGTTGTTGCTGTACACTTTGCCGCACTCTGGGCAGACGGGCTTGGTGGGAGGGCGGTCAAATACGTCTTCCAACCCTGCAATCCCCACCGCCCTGCTATTTTACTAAACACACACCTTTTGTTTTGTTTTCTATATTACGAAAAGAGCAATTATATATAAAATAACTAGAAATATTGTTATATTAGGTACATTTTAAAAGAATTTAGTTAGATAAGAGTTGGTTAAATCAAGTCCTAGTGACACTATTGTAATTGCTCTTTTCTTATTTATTTAAACCTTTTATTATTTTTTCTTTTTGTAATATTAATAGCCCCTGATGTTGAATTTAACATTTACATTTATATTTTGTATATTTGAATTATTAAGCCAAACAACAGTTATTATAGTAACTCATAATGCCTTTATGGACCTGAACACAAAATGCAACATTTCATGAAAATGAGAGGAGAAAAGGTTAGAATCAGAATTAATCACAGCTTAATAATAATGCTTGTGTTCAATCTCAGAAACCAACATAAAATGTTCTGTTTATTTAAAAAAAAGCATTTGTCAAACCTAATAAAATAATTTGTTAAATGAAAAAAAAGTTAATAAATAATAATATATAAAATATAAGAAACAACATACCGAAACTGTTATCTGGTCCACTGTTGTGCATCCCAGACGGACCAGGTAGTAACCCAGGGAGTCCTGTTCCCAAACAATAGACACAATTGATTATAAACAAATGGAGCGAAAGGGACAAATATATTTCTAATAAATTATATTTGTACTATATCAAAAATGAAGACACATAAATAAGAATAGTAAAAAAATAAAAATAAAAACATGCAACAAAGCAAGCAATTTGTACAAATTTAATTTGATATGAAGCTGAAAATTTTTACTCTTCATAGTGTTTTCTCTTAACATAATAAAAAATATTTTCCATTAACAAACATTTTCTTAGATTCTCCCGTTTGTAAATATTTTTACAACTGTACATGTAGAATTTTTTAATATTTTTTATTTACTCACTAATTATTGTTAAAAGCTGTTTACATATTTACATCAATGAAATATTAACAATAACATTAACATTACACAACGTGATCAGTTTTTGAAAGTTATATGTCAAAATACAACTACCTTGGAGTCCAAGCAATGCTGCCGAAAAGTTTGGAGTCCTGTTTGGGTCCATAACGAGGGAATTGTGGTGGTCGCCGTACTCTGATGGCTCAGTTTTTGGTTGAATGAGATCAGCCATGGAATGTGGTCCATTCATGGTGGATATGGAGAGACCTCTGTCGGACACTGCTCCCCGTTCTGAAAGGCCAGTGTCAGATGAGTTGCTCTCTTCACCTGTCGACTGTGCATGAACTGACGAATCAGAGTTCCCTTTAGGCTGGAAGAGAATAAATGTTACAATATAAATGTTTAAAAGAAGTAGTAACAATGATTTTTTTTTAGTCGTAATCACCTGATTGTTGGATGATACACTGTTATGCGTTGACTCTAACGCTTGAGACAGAAGACTCTCCCTCGCTTCTGAATGGTGGTGGTGGTTATTGGTGTTCAATGAGGATGCCGGAGAGGGAGAGAATCTATTACCTATCACAGAATTCTGGGCTAGTTCTGAACTCCGGCTCCTTTTGCTAGGTGGTGGAGATGCTCCTCCATCGCTAGGATTTTGTACTATCGAAGACACATTGGATTCATTATTGTTGTTATTTGCCCAAGGAACAGTAGGATTTGAACCCTGGAAAAAAGAAAATTATTAATTCTTTCACTCTGGTATAAACTAAAAAATAAATATTTCTAAAAGTTCTTACATATAATGTCAATTGTCATTTTATTTTATTTTATTTAATCAGCAGTACAATTGTGTGAAATTTTGGTGAAGTGTGCAAAGTGATGAACTTGCATGATTGATCTTTGATCATCTTGTCTGCTGATCATTTACTGTTTATATTTATTTTCTTTTTGATTTATTTTGTTGAGATGCATATTCAGTGTTGGTCTATGTGTTATTTTGTCAGTGGTGTCCTTTTATTACATTTTTACTATATGAAGGAATGTCTTTTATGGAAACAAGTCAGAATTTATTCGACGCTAGTTCCAGTCAGTAAATAAGTTCTTCTTTCACATTTTACAAACATATAAAAAAGGACTTAACCGAGAAAATAACATACAGACCTAACAGTGATGTGAGTGAAGATGGCGTGCTGAAAAGCGCCTGACAGACCAAAAGAGTACAGCATTACAATTTTAACGTATATTTATGAAATCTTCAACGTCTCTCTCTCGCGCGCGTTTTTGTTATCCAGTAATGTCTTTTGAATTATTTTTTATCTGAGAAATAAGAAAAATATTGATGACAGAAGGTCTATAATCATCACCGGCAATTTTAAAAAGGAATAAAGTGATGGATTAAATTATTTAATACGTGGTTTTATTATTTTAGTTTTGCCCGGCGTGCTGTAAGTTTAAGAACTTTCGTCTTCAGTGTGATCATTACTGATCATCGGCGTTTCCAAAGAATATTACGTTGGTCTATTTAGAATTGCAATTTTCACTGAGTACCAATCAAATTGATGGATGTCGATTGCGAACCTCACAAAATAATAGCATATATGTTTTCATCTGACTATTATACTTATTTGTTTCAGTACTTTAAGCATGAATGGATGACATAACTGCGAATGAATCGATACAGGCCCAGAAACCGTATAACTGAGGAACGCGAGGGTCGCCCTGTTAAAAATCTGGGCATTCCTAGTTGGACGACGAATTTGCTCAATTTGCCCGTCGAGGGAGAAAATGCCCAAAAATCAATAGTGCTTCATCCTTTTGAGAAACAAAACGCATTCCATTCTATGTTTCTTACTATTTGTATATTTCCTAACTCACAGAATTGCTTGATTATCTGGTAAAATACAATCTAATCTATTGTCAATGCAGGATTTCACCAGTAAAAAAACTTTATTTATTGATAAGACTCCTTTTTTTAAAATTATTGACGATAATTAAATAAGATGAACAAGATTACTATCACAGATAACTATCATTTATATTTTCGTGAGATTTCTTGTTGAGGTCTTTACGGTGATGATCCTTGAAGTTTGGTCCTTCCAAACATCCTCGCCTACTTATTCCCGATAATTTAGCACTTCAGCGCGTCATTCAGGGGTATAAGCAGGGTGCGACAAGACCAATGATGGCACATGGCCAAAACGAACCTGACAGAACCAGCGAGGATAGGTGAAGGTTAAAAGAAGTCGGCGCCAATATTCGACTCTCCCAGGAGTAGGAGACTCAGCCTGTATAAATCTTCGCATCGAAGGAGGACATGTGCCAATGTTTTCTTCCTGTAACATCTTCACAGGCTTGTTTCTGGTGCTACATGTCTATACATGTGCCTCCAGAATCTGCAATGTCCAGTCAGCAGTCCTGCTTTCGTTCTAGTACTAGTTCTAGGTTTCGTAGTTCTGCTATGTACGGGATGGTCTTTTAATGAACTTTTTTGTATGTCTCCAGTCCTGCAGTACAATCCCAATGAACCGATATTCTTAACCCATTGCCTAATTGATCTACGTTTGAGGTAATTCGGTATGCTAATTTAGTCTGTCGAAAGCGTCAGTCAGGGATATATGCAGGGTGAGGCAAAAAAAACCTAGCAATATTGGCGCAATGCCGAACGAACCTGACAGAACTAGCGAGGATAAACCGACCAACTAAAACTACAAATTTATATTTTCCCTTACGCCTACTTCTTCGTTTGTGCATGAATGATAATTATTTTCATAATCAGAGATGAACGCGCTCGTACAAGTATTTTTTAACATATTTCATATTGATCTGTTACAATACAATGAAACATCTTTTATCTTGCTTTCATTGATTTTTTGCATCAATTAAATTATATTTGCTATGTATTAATTATTACTTTTACTGATTACGCCTTTGGTTTATATATTTCATCCTTTATTAGTCATGATAAGTAATGTATTCTCATTGTAATGATATATTTTAATATTTCCACCGTTGGAAGTTGTAATAACAGAGAAATTTAGATTAATTGAACAACATGTACAATGTAATTAAGCCTTATTATTTATTGCTCGAATAAATTAAATGTAATTTGTTATTGACACATTTATTAAGAATTACTTGTCAATGAATTCTATTATACTTTGGTGGTACACTACTTTTTCCTTCAAAATAAAACGGGATTTGAACAAATGGTCTAAGCTTGTGGTATTTTGTATTGCTATCTCACTAATAAAATCAGAACCAATGTAGTGTTAGAAATAAAAATATTTCTTACACTAAGTAAATCACTGAGGAAATATTTTCAATTAAACTTCTTATATGTTTTTTAACAGATTAATTTTTATAGCTTGGGCTTATGGTAGAGTATGCCTCTTTTTTTTTAATCGATCAAAACCAGATAAAACACCAGGTCTGTTCGCCAGGCTAAACCAAACTTCATTTTGTACCTATCTCTAATTTTCTGCCCTGTACCGTTCATGCCTTGCAGTATGAGATATGAATACTTACATTACTGATATATGGCCAGAGTAGGTAAGTCGAGATTCGTGTTTCCATGGAAAAAAATTAGGCCCAACAATGTTGCTTAATTAGTCGCCGCCAGCCCATGGAGTAAGAGACTGATGACGAATTTCGAAAGGTGACTTTATGGGTTGCCTTTCAATGAAATTACAAAGGGTCCACTCAGTAATATTCTTATTAATGTATTTTTTATTACTCTCAAGGAGCTAAGGCTTATATTTCTGAAAGACTGACGGATTTCAGTTGTTCCATTTTGCCTAATCAATCTTCAGAACATTTTTGCTGCTAACCAAAGCTAGGCATCTTTTCTGGCCTGAACCGTACACTCTCAACTGAAGCTGAACACACCTCTGAATTTTTTATTTGACCTTCTGGAACCAACTCAAAGTGAATCATTCGAAATTCCACAACTCGCATGACCTTTTCGGCAAACGTTCCTCGTCTTGGGAAAAGAAGAGCTAGTTGGCCGGCCATAGTGTCTTGTCGCTTCTAGACGGTGTTAGGGTTGTTGAAGCAGATCAACTTCTGGTAGCTGTGCTCCAATTATTAAAGATGACTTCGTGTTAATGCAGCATGTAGCCCGAGTTGTCACCCATTACTTGGAGGGATTACCACAATGGATTGACTAGCATATGTTCTCCTGACAGGAGTCCTATAGGTCATATGGCACATGATAAAGAAACGGGTTTCTCATTGTTAGATGCGTCCAAATAGCGTTGAACATCTTCAATCCATTCTTGTCACAAAACTTACTTACTCGATGCTGCGATAAAGCCCATCTAGAGGCCAGAGGAGATGATTTTCTGGTTTCTAGGTGAATTTTCTTTCAAACTACCTAAATTATTTTTTAAACTGTTAATTTCTGATCTCGTTTAATGTGGTTTACATTAAAATAAATGTGTTGTAATTAATATAACGATTTTAAGAATTCTTAACAGGACACTGCAAACTAAATGGGCATCTGAAGAAAATTGGCATAACTGAACACGGCAAATGCAGATTCTGCAAAGAAGCAGAGAAAACGCCAACACACCTACTAACAAACTGTGGTGATACACTTGCCAGCAGGAGAAAGTGTTTTGGGTCGTCCATTGCAACCTTAAAAGAGATTCAACCTCTGGCACCGGGCCTACTAACCAAATTCAATTCAAATTGAACTAGAAATCACCGGCGTTTTGTAAGGTGGCGTTTAGGTAAGATGACAAAATGGTTATGCAGCTTAAAGAGCTAAGCGGTTTGAATCGCATGGGGATTGATACCAAACAGATTGATATGCTTAAGGTTGAACCTGTTTATATTGAGTTGCCAAGTCTTAAAAACAATCAGATTGATTCACCGTTTCGACACGCTGAAAAAGCCTTTGATGTATTGGAAATAAATACCTAAAACGGTTAAAAATTGAACGATTAGGGCATTTTTGATGTCGCGATGAAAATATCGCCTCAATCCACCTTTCTATTCTCTCATAAAGCACTACTTGCTCTGTATGAATAGATCTCATGTTAAGTGGCTCATTCCATTTGGCGGAAAAAGTGTCCAGAGCAAATTGAGCAGCATCGACAGTGGCTGCGTTGTAAATGCTACGCAAGTCAGCTGCAACAGCTTTTGTTAAAACTGGCACACGGGCACTACCGGGTCTGTCTTAACTCGCGGGGTTTTTGTTTGAGTTATTCACATTGAGTGAAGACAGACCCGGTAGTGCCCGTGTGCCAGTTCAACATGAGTTCGCCAACTCGCAGACCAAACCCCATCATCTACTGCAACAGCTTTGCTGGACTTTCGACGAATGACGCACTTGATAGACAATACAAAGCTCTATTCTTGTCTGAAGGTAAATGGCTTCTTACACACAGGCAATGAAGATATCCTGCAAATCACGATTTTTTAGCTCTGAAATTACTGACAGCCAAAACTTTGCCCCTTCAGTTATTGCTATGGATTGGATACAACAGATCTTAAAGGGCACAGTATATCACCCCCGACTAATACATCTACATATAAAGTCTAAAACTATGTAGTTTAAAATAAATAAAAAACAAGTGAGTCCGGTTTTTTGAGAGCATATAACGAAAGTTAACTAGTTCACCCATATGTGCAAAAAGTAAAAAATTTAATTAAAACTATTTGGCGCCTTATGCTTCGAAAGGAAAAATTCACATACTTTTGTTCCAATCTAGTAATAATCAC